TTGGCCACCAGGTCACACTGCTGCTCATGGGCACCCACTGGTCAACTCCTGATGAACTGCTGGTCACCCACTGGGCAACCATTGGCCTTCTTGGCCACCATGGGATACTGCTGCCTCATGGGCAACCACTGGCCAAACACTGGCCAACCATTGGTCTTTTTGGCCATCAGGGCACACTGCTGCCTCGTGGGCAGCCATTGGTCAACTACTGATGAACTGCTGGTCAACTATTGGCCTCTTTGGTCACCAGGACGCACTGCTGGCCCATGGGCAACCACTGGCCAAACACTGGCCAACTGTAGGTCAACTACTGGGCTTTTTGACCACCGGGTCACACTGCTGCTCATGGGCACCCACTGGTCAACTACTGATGAACTGCTGGTCAAACACCGGTCAACCATCGCTCTGTTTGGCCACCAGGGCTCATTGTTGGCCCATGGGCAACCACTGGTCAAATAGTGATGAACTGCTGGTCAACTACTGGTCTCTTTGGTCAACAGGACACACTGCTGCCTCGTGGGCAAGCACTGGTCAACTTCTGATGAACTGGTGGTCAATTATTGGCCTCTTTGGTCACCAGGACACACTGCTGGCCCATGGGCAACCATTGGCCAAACACTGCTCAACTGCTGGTCAACCGTTGGCCTTTCTGGCCATCAGGGCTCATGGGCAACCATTGCTCAACTCCTGATGAACCTTTGGTCAATCATGGATCTTTTTGGCCACCAGGGCAACACTGCTGCCTCCTGGGCAACCATTGGTCAACTACTGATGAACTGTTGACCAACTACTGGCCTCTTTGCTCACCAGGACGCACTGCAGGCCCACGGGCAACCATTGGTCAACTGCTGACCAACTCTGGTCACCCATTGGTCACCCATTGCTCTGTTTGGCCACCAGGGCGCAGTGCTGCTCATGGCAGCCATTGCTCAACCACTGCTGCTCATCCACGGCTCTTTTTGCCCCCCTGCTGCCTCACTGCAGGCCCCGCCGTCCCCCACAGCCCCCAGCTTCCTCTCAGCCCCTCCGACCCACCGGGACCCCCCGCCCTCCCCCCACCTATTTGACCCCTCACACCGAACTCCTCTCCCCTCCCCTCCCCCCCGTTTATACCCACCCTTGGCGGATCGCTCCCTCCCGAAGCACGCTGCCAGCGCGCCCAGCGCAACCAACGCCGCCCCGGGGGGGGGTTTCCCATGGCCGCTCCGTTCCCTTCGTGGCTCAGTCGTTAAGTTACGGCTCGGCCCGGGCCCGGCGCTGTCCCAGCACGGCAGCCGCCCCCCCGCGGTCGCTCCCCGCCAAAGCGGCTCTGCGCTCGTCGTCCTCACGGGATGGCGGCGGCCTCTGGCGGCGGATCCAGGCATCAAGCGGAGCCATTCGGCCGCGGTGCGCACCTCCGGATCTCCGGGAGCGGCCCGCGGGGCACGGAACCACCGGCAAGGCCCGACGAGCCGAGCCAGGCCCGGCGGCGGCGGGCGGCCCCAAAGGGCGGCCAGCATCGTCCGCGGAGCCGCCGGCACCGAACCCCCCCCGGCTCAGCGCTCACGCCGGTGAAACAAGATGGCGGCCGCCGGCGCGCAAAGGCTGCTGGGAGGCGTAGTTCGCACCGAAGGAGCCGCCGCGATGACGTCACGAGAAAACACCACAGCTCCCAGGGTGCACCGCAAGGCGTCGGACTTCCTGGGAGTGGCCGGAAACGCAGCGCGCAGCCCGCGGCGCTTCCGGGATTTGACCGGAAGCGGTCGTGTCTCCCGTTGAGGGGCGGTGCGAGGTCTGAGCCCGGGATGGGACGGAGAGCCGAGGGTTCGAGTCCCGGCCGGGGACGTGCGGGGTTTGCGCGTGGCTCAGACGCACCGCACGCGGCGCTCACACACGCTCACATGTCGGCACAAGGGCGGGTGTGCACACGTGTGCCAGCGTGCCACATCCCCATCCCGTTCCCCAATCCTATTTCCCCCAGCCCATATCCCCAGCCCATACCCAAATCCCATTGCCCAACCCCATGGCCCAACCCCATATCCCCATCCCAGCACATCCCCCAATCCCACTGCCCAACCCTATAGCCCAGTCCCATTCCCCAGTCCCGTTCCTCACCCCTGTTCCCAATCCCCATCTCATACCCCCATCCCATTCCCCAACCCCACCATTCCAATCCCATTCCCCAATCCTATTCCCCCCATCCCATACCACCATCCCATTCCCCAACCCCATTCCCCAATCCCATACCCCCATCCCATTACCCAACCCTATATCCCAATCCCCAATCCCATTCCCCAGCCCCATACCCCAATTCCATAGCCAAATCCCACCCCCTATCCCATATCCCAATCCCATCCCCCATCCATCCCCCACTCCCATTGCCCAACCCTATATCCCCCAATCCCTTTCCCCACCCTCATTCCCCACCATCCCATTCCCAAACCCACATCCAACCCCGTATCCCAATCCCATCCCCTACCCCATCCCCCATCCCATTGCCCAACCCTATATCCAATCCCACCCCCCAATCCCGCCCCCCATTCCCATTCCCTTACCCTATTCCTCCCCAACCCATTCCCCTCCACCCCATTCTCCCCCCTGCCATTCCCACCCCAGTATCCCCCATCCCATTCCCAATCTTCCATCCCATCCCCTCCATCCCATCCCCTCCATCCCATCCCATCCCATCCCATCCCATCCCATCCCATCCCATTCTTCCCATCCCATTCTTCCCATCCCATTTCCCCCATCCCATCCCATCCCATCCCACCCCATCCCATCCCATCCCACCCTTCCCACCCAATTCCCACCCCATTCCCATCCCAATCCCACCCCATTTCCACCCCAATCTCTCCCATTCCTATTCCCATCCCAATCTCCCATCCCATTCCTCCCCATCCCATTCCCACCCCATTCCCAACCTTCCATCCCGTTCTTCCCACCCCATTCCCATCCCCCAATCCCAATAACCCCCATCCCCTTTCTCCCCATCCCATTCCATCCCATTTCCATTCCACATCCCATTCCCAATTTGCCACCCCATTCTTCCAATCCCATTCCCAGCCCCCAATATCAATAACCTCCATCCCATCCCATCCCATCCCACCCCATTTCCTCCCCTCAATCCCAATCTCTTCTATCCCCATCCCATTCCCATCCCCCAATCCCAATAATCCCCATCCCATCCCATTCCCTTCCCAATCCCCCCATTCCCATCCCATCCCATCCCAACTCCAATATCTCCCATCCTAATGCTATCTCCCAATCCCAATAACCCTCATCCCATCCCATCCCCACCCCATTCCCATCCCTATCTCCCCCATCCCGTTCCTATTCCCAGTCTCCCATCCCAATTCGTCCCATTCCCATTCCACATCTCATTCCCATTCTCCATCCCATTCCTATCCCCCAATCCCATCCCATCCCATCCCATTCTGATTCACCATCCCATCCCCACCCCATTCCCACCCTTCAATCCCAATTTCCCCATCCCATTCCCATTCCCATCTCTATTCCCAAACTCCCCTATCCCCATTCCCATC